GCCAAGGAGCGTCACCCCAACAACTGACTCCTACTTTCAACCTGAGGCTTCCTTCTCCCCAGCCAAGTGAACCCCACTCTGTCATGCACAGATGGGGGCACCTTTCCTGTGAGGCTATAGGCTTTCTCCCAAAAACAGAGTGCTGGAATTTTCTCCACTAGTCACAGCGTGACAGTTTTATGCCAACCAGCATATACTCTTTAGTTGGTTGTGATTTAAAATTTAAGCAGTCAGGTATAAAGAAAACATGGATAGAGTAGAAAAAGCCCTGGACTAATCGTTTGGAGTCCAGGGCCTAGAGGGACAGTAGAATGTACCAGTTAAAAGTGTGGATGCTGAGGTCAGAAAGCCTGTGTTCAAATCCTGACTCTGTCACTTTACTAAGTAACATTGGCTACTTGTAATCTCTAAATGTCAGAAATTATAAAATGTGTACCTCTCCCATAGACTGAACAGGATAAACCATGTAAAACAATTAGCACAGTACCCAGGAAGTTGTTAATGAATACCAAATGTTAGCTGTTGTTATTGCTGGAGATGGAAGATCTGGATTCTAACTCCAGAGCTGCCATTTATTCTCTGTGGGGCGCTGCGTGACTCAGCTGACCAGGGGCGGGAGGTGATAAATCTGACACATCCAGCCCAGCACTGGTCTCCGAGCCAGCACTCGGGAGCTACCTGTCTTAGCCTTCCCCAGGATCAGTTTAATCACGTGTAACATGGAGTGGGTGACACCAACCCAAAAGGCTGGTGTGAGAATTACGTGAGATAACACGTGGGAAAAGACCTGGCATAGCGATAAATGTCAGCGAATCTGAACGGCAACCTCAGCGCTTCCGCGTTGCTGTTATTCTCAGCAGTATTTCTTGTCATGGCTGGTCTTCCTTATGAGCGCTTCCCTTTGACTCTGCCTTCCCTGGTACTATCTGCTCCCCTCACTGCCCCCTCAGGACTCACTGTTGGCTGCTTCCCCAATTACTTTCTTCTCCACTTGTTCTCTCCTGTAGAGGCTGAAAATGCCAGTGCTCGCTTTCCCAGCCTCCTTGGCAGCAGCGCCCCTACAGAGCCACCACTGCAAATTCCAGCCAGGGAGGTGCAAGGGGAGTCTCCTGGGGGACGTCTGGGGGAGGTTTCCCTCCTAACAAATGCAGAGAGACTCCTGAAGAGAGCCCCCTTCCTTCCCTGCCACCTCTTTCTTCCTGCTTTGGACATTGCCATGTGAGGAAGTGATGCTTAGTGTTGCTTCAGCCACCTGGTGGCCATAAGTGGGGGAATCGCTGACATGCTGAGAGCCCCAGAGCAAGGAGATGAAAGGGGCCTGTATCCTTGATGACATCCCTGAATGGCTGACCCAGCTCTGGAACTTCTGTCTTGGGACCTCTTGTCCTGAGGGATCCTTGAATCTATTGGTTGGAAGTCTGCTACTTGCCACTGAGAACACCATCAGTGGCACAACCCAGCTCTCTTCTTGTTCCACCCCCCAACCCACCTCCAGCCTAAGACTTCCTTCTATCAACCTTATGTTGATCCACAGAATGTTGAGTTGACAATCAAACACAGAAGGGGAAAAGGACCCCAGCTCTCTGGGGCAGGGATACCCTGACACATTACCTGATGACTCATTCTGGATCTTCTTATTGCTGCTACCACCCAAAGATTAAGCAGCAAGAAACATTTCTCTCATAAAAATCTTGAGTCTTGAGGAGTGGCCCTGGAAGCCAGCTCGATAAACTTATTGAGTACCTACTGTGGATATTGGATACAAGAAGGAGTAAGACTCAGTCCTCACCCTTGAGGAGCTAACTTGCTAGCACACAGTCAGCCACAACAGCAGGCAAATCATGGAGAGCCCCAGAGAGAATGACAAATCGAAGTGTGGTCTGAGGACCCAGTCTGTGAACTGTTACCACTCACAATGATGCTAGGAGCTTATGCCGGAACGTAAATCAACTCATCATCAAGTACATTGTGTAGTTCAGCTGATTTTTTTTTTTTTTTTGGAACAAGACTTTCTTGATGAAGAAAGCAGTGGGGGGTTATTTTGGTTTCTGATCTTTTTTTTTTTCAATGGAACTTGGCAGAGGCAATCGTAGCTCCTTCTGTGCTCCTCCCCTTCCATATCTCTCCTGTCTCCCCAGAGGTGAGTGCAGGCCTTCCGTATCTTTCTCCTTTCACCACTTTTGGTTCGCTTCCACTCATCCAAGTCCTCCACATTTTTTAAGTGTCAGATCAAGGCTCTTCTCCAGCTCATGATGACATTTTTGCAGAGCATTGTTGCACTTAATTTTGGAGGGCTTTCTGTGATTTATTATCATCTTAACCATTCATCAAACATGTAAAGCAGTGAATTGGTTTACATTGGGCACAAGTTCATTTTCTTATTGCGAAGCAGCACTTTGGGTAGTATCGTTACAAATGGGCTATGAGTCAAGAGAATGAAGGTCTTCACGGAGGGATATGACAGTGTATCTTGATGGAAAGGTAAGAGTCGAACGGAAAAAAAATGGGCAGAGAGAAGAGAGGTAGGTGCGTTGGTAGAACAAAAAGTCTGATTCTAGTTAGCCGCAGGGGGTATATAGGGACAAAGTGGGGGCGAGCCTGGAGGACAAATTGCAGCAAGCCAGGGAGAGGTGTGGAATAGCAGACGAAGAAGTCTGAACCTCTTTTCGTCTAAAATGGGAAGCCATTACAGTTCTTTGAACAAGTCAGACTATGCTGGAGGACAATTGATCAGGTGTCAGAAATGAAAGCTGGTCTGTAATGAGGAGAGAAAGGGAGAGAGAAAGATACAGTGACAGGCCTGTACCAGGGAAAGATCCTTAGAAAATGGCTGGAGGTGGGGTTAAGTGAGAGGTAGGGATCAAAACGACTGTGCCAGGTTTCAAGGTCAGGTAACAAGATAGTGTTTGTGGCCCTCGTAGAAGGTGGAAGGCCCAGTGGAGGAGGTGCTTTAGTGAGGGCTTTTCTGTCGGGGTCCTGGCGTGTAAGTCTGGAATGCGTGTCCAGCAGGAGTGGGAGGTAGCAGTGAGGTGCTCAGAGCAGAGACCTTGGACTTGTGCTCACGCAGCTGAGAGCTGATAACAGAATACACCCACGAGAGATGAGACCAACCAGGTGAGAAACGAGAAAGAGGAGAGTCCGGGACTTTGAGAACCGCTTTCATTTGAGAGGAAGGGCCTGAAGACCGCAGTACCGCGGACACCCACGGAACAGTCTGATGAAGACCGGGCTCTAGCCACGGCGCACTGAGCTTCCTCAGGACAGTTTTAGACACAAATCAGACTTCAGGATTAAGGACGGGGAGGTTGGTTTGGTCCTGGATGTCGGTCTGAGGAAGTCTGGTGGTAAAAGTAAGAAGAGGAAGGGCCAGGGCCAGGAGCAGGCTTTTGTTACAGGGAGGTGAGGTGTAGGAAAAGAAAAAGAGCAGAGGGAAAGAAGGATGACCAAGGTGGGTGCTTGCTGCTGGCTGTAGGGCCTGCAGGGTGGGACCAGTGTGCAAGGAAGGGGACCAGGGGTCTGGGAGATGGGAGCAAAGAGAGCAAGGACAGCTGAAAGTAAGGGGAGGTTCTAAGGTGGGAGAAAGGGCGGTGGACAGAACTCAGAGCAGTGTCCTGACATTCTCAGTAAAGTCAGTCATCAGCTGAGGTCGAGGGGAGTCAGGCTGGGGTTGAAGTCATTTTCCAAGCTGGTTCACTGAATTTCCCAAGGTCAAACAGTTGGAAAATGTTAGCTCTAGGACCAGAATCCAAGCCTTCCATCTGCCAAGTTCAGTGGTCACTCTGCCACATCAGAAATTCTCAACTTTTTTATTCTGATATGAGACGTTAGGTCTTTCCCTCACGTACATTTGAATGAGCTATTCCAACTATTTAGGCAAGTAGCCTAAAGCAGCCTACTTTAAAAGGGATCCAGTGGCAATTTGAGACCACTAGAGAAGTAATGAGAATTTAATTTTTCAAGTCTCAAAAAATGAAGAATTATTTTTTTTAAATGCAAATCAAGTCCACCTCTTTTTCCAGGTGAAAAGATGCAGAGAACTTTCTCATGACCTGCTTCTTTCTCCAAATTCTTTACTAAACCTTCAGTGAAGTTCCCCGTAATCAATGTGGGGGAAATAAGAAAGGCAAGTTTTATTCTATGCAGACTTTCCCTTTGCCATGGTCCGCTCCTTCCAGCAGCTGTGTCCTCCTGGACATGTGGGATGGAGTGTGGATACCTTTTCTGAGAGAAAGCAGGTTGTAAAGGCTTCCCTGAAGAATAAGCCTAGGAGTTCCTTGAGTTTCCAGTACCTGGTGTCATGGTCTGGCTTGGCCTGACTTAGAGTGACCTGAACCCACATTTAGCTGGGGTCACGGTCCCTGCAGACCCTGAGCAGCTCAGATGTCCATTGAAAACATGGCCCTGGGCAAGCTCTGCTCTACTCCTTTTGAGTCACATTTATCTAAAACTCATGAGAAAACAGGAACTGATACCCTCTTTAAGCTTTAGATTAAATCCAGGGTTTCTTAACCTTCGAACTATTGACATTTTAGGCGGAACAATTCTTTGTTGTGAGGAGGCTGTGCTCTGTGTTGTGGGAGGTTCTGCAGCACTGCTGGCTTCTACCTACTAGATGCCAGAGGCACAATCCTTCCCCCAAAGTGTGACAACCAAAAATGGCTCCAGACATTGCCAAATGTCCCTGAGAGGGTAGGGGGAGCAAAACTGCCCCCACTTGAGAACCACTGATTTAACCCAGTGAAGCCAAGTACAGGTTTTACCATGAAGAAACCCCCCAAAGCAGGGTTGTATTCTGATTGCACTGTAGAATATAGACCTTTGCCCATAGACTGACATGGAGAATCTGGTAAGAGACATTTTTTGGTTCCACTGTCTCCAACTCACCAATACAACACAGTGTTAGAAATAGTGTTAGAACAGTGCTCTGTTTCGTCGTGTCGTCGTCCACTGGATCGGAGCACCTGAGTTTACACCAGGGAACTGTTAGGGATAAGACTCACCGATTTTTTTCAGTGACAGCAGGAGAATTGTTCGAAGTCTCTGCGTGGCCATTGCTGGATTCTGCTTGTGGATGGCTTTTATGATCTACAGAGCCCCTCAGAACTGAGAGAAAACAAACAAGTACTTAGAGATCTAAAGATAAGTTCAGAAGTAGGCAGGGCTAGTTTTTGGTGCCCATCTATGCTCTCTGCAGCCCTTTTCTCCCTGCCCTCATGCCACTGCCTGAATTTCTGCAGCCTTTCCTAGAACGTGTTATTAAAACTGACCTGTTCTGAGATGCCAGGTCTCACTTGGTAATAGGTCCCAGCCAGCAAATTGGATAAAATAACTCATGCCTATAGGAAAACAAGCTACCTCTCTCTGCCAATAGATATAAATAGTAGACAGAAATTAGAAGCCCCCAGGTGAGGTGGGTCCCAGCAGAAGCAAAGTGCAGTAGCTGGAATAGCACTGTGCCCAGCAGAGCCAGCAGGGCAACTTCTAGTTCCAGCCGGGCTGCCACTGGTGCAGAAGAAGTGAACTGTCATGTGGGTAGGATTAACTGTAAGCAGGGAATCATCCCAGAAGTAAGCATTTCTACATTGTGGTTGAGGATAGTGTACGGATGAGTTTCTTAGGAGTTAGAGCAACATATATGACCCCTTCCTGTGACCATGGCAGCCATGACTAAGCAATCATGGCTCTCCTTTCTACTGAACCTTAGTTTAGCTTCAAGTTCCTTCTTAACACAACACTTCACATCAATGGTCCTCAAAGTGTGGACCCCAGACCAGCCGATCAGCCTCACCTGGAAACTTACTAGAAATGCAAATTCTTGGGCACCACCTCAGATCCAGTAAATCAGAAATTCTGGGACTAGGGCCTGGCAATCTGTGTTTTAAAAAAGCTATCTAGCTGCTAACACCAAGGTCTAGGTTTCGATCCCTGCACTGGCCAGCTGCCAAAAATAAAAAAAAATGAAATTAAAAGCTATCCAAGTGCCTCTGGTCCATGTTGAAGTTTGAAAGATGTTGCTTCCAGATCAATGAATCTTAATCCTGGCTACACATTAAAAATACCTGGGAAGATTTTAAACATGCCTGGGTACTGGCTCTAGAGATTCTGAATTCGACCTGGGGTGGGGGCTGACACTAGATGATTTTAAGGTGTGGCCAGGGCTGAGAACCACAGTTCCAAGTAGTCACTATCAATCAATTAGGGTAGGAAAGAGACTTTGCAATTATTTGTCATCCTTATTTTAGGTAATTGAGAAGCATCCAACCCAAAGTATAAGCAACAAAGATAACCTATAAACTTGGCAATTGTGACATATTGTGGAAGACATAGAAAATGTGAAAGGTTGTTATAATGATAGAACATATAACATTATAGAGATGGAATATAGAAAAAAATAAAGGGGGGGGGGGACTGGCTGCTTAGCTCAGTTGGTTAGAGCACAGCCTTATAATACTAAGGTCACTGATTCAGATCCCCATACTAGCCAGCCACAAAAAATAAAAAGAAAAATAATAAAGGAATATAGACATCAATTGTTTTTGTGCTATCTGTTCTGGGAAGAGTATGCTCTGATTTAAGATTTTTAGTTTGGTTCCTTAGACATAAATATCTCTTTTGTAGAACGAAGTAATTCTTTGAGCTAGACTGGTAGATAAAACCATCTGTTTTTATTATTATTGCTATAAACACCAAAATGATAAAGAGAAAAATGTAAATGGAACATTACTGCATTTTTACTATTACACAAAAAATATTACAATGAAACAATGGTGAAAGAATGGGGAAAAAAAGCAGAAATCAAGAAAAATAACTGCAGCCTGTTAGAATCTCACTAACTGATTCCCTCCCCTCCCCTTGCTGCTTTCTCTTGATAAACTCTTGCAGCTAGAGCACCAGGCAGGTTTTCCTCCCTCTTGGAGATTCTAAAACACTGCTAGGCCCAAGCTCACTTATAACGCTGTGATAAGCAACATAATACCAAGAATTGACATAAAAAGAAAAACAAGGAGCCCACTTCAGAGACACAAATTTCTTTCTGTTTCCCCATTGAGAAGGAAAATCACCACAAATAATTTTTAATCTTGTTCTCTGGCCCAATTCAGCAGCACCAAGAGCTACCACTGATCAAAGCCCAAATGGTATTGTGCATGTGGAAAGCTGAGATTGCAAGCTTTTGTCTGCACCTATTTTGAGAGCCTTGGTGGAAAAAAAAAAAAGGAGTAATAGTAGTTTAATAGCAATCCAAAGAGAGACAATGCAAAAGGAAAGCCAGAAATAACCACAAGAGCCCCTTTTGGTTTGGGCCTCTTCTTACCAAGGTGCCATGTCCAAGACCAGAAAGAGTGGAAGCAGCAACATCTCTCCCTGGGGCTTAGCAGATGCACGCCCCCAGTTACTTTAGCTGGGTTTTCAGTAAAAACCCACAGAATTTCTGTTCATGAATTGAAGAGAAAACTTATTCCATGTTTCTTATTCATTTGCACTTCAGTCATCAAAATATTGATTTTTAAGTTATTTGAAGTATAAAAACCAAAAAGAAACTTATAGAATATTCTTAATAAAGCTTAGATGAAGTTTATTCCTCCATCCCCCAGCTTTTCCTGAAGAGCAGGGAGAAGGATTTGGGTCAAACTAAAGAGATAAACTTAAATAAGTTAAGATTTTCAAACCATTCAGTTCAAAGCAAGATCCAAAATTGTCAAATATTTTTAACTATGTCTTGGTGACAGGTGGAATTACCCTGCATCTCTCTGGCAAATCAATTGCTAAATAAGGAGATTGGAGAAATAGAGATATGCAGAAAGAAACAAAAGAGAGAAATAAGGTGACCCACTTTAAGTGAAAGGGTTGGGTTAAAGGAATTAGACCAGCAACATGGCTAAAAAAGAAAAATGGACTTGAATAGCAGAATTGGGAGCTGACCAGTTAGCTCAGTTGGTTAGAGCACAGCCTTGTAACACCAAGGTCAAGGATTCAGTTCCCCATACCAGCCAGCCGCCAAGAAAAAAAAAAAAAAGAATAGCAGAAATGTTAATAAAATGCCAAACATGGAGAATGTGCAGGTATGGTAATAGAGGTTTCTCCAGAGATAGGTCATGTATTCTCAGGAAAGGTCCCTAAGTGGTTCTGATTTAATGACATAAAGCAATACTTGGAGTGCTGGAGGAGTTGAGCCCTTCCAAAATCTGATTGAGTTCTATGAGCTATTCATAGTTTTTTCAGGAAAATTGAGCCAAATCTTCACTGGCCCATTCTGAAATAACATGGAAAGGCATTCGACTGTCAGGAAAAAAAAGAAGAAGACACTATAGAAGGTGTTGTAAACTCAGATGGCTTTGGGGCCAGCCAGGTAACATAAAGGTGTGAAGTATCAGGAAAAGAGGATGGGGAGTGGTGGGGTTTACAGTAAACCAGAGAATGCACACCCCACTTTAAGGCATTCAGGTTAAAATTTACAAAAACAAACAAACAAACAAACAAAAAATCCCCACTGTGCCTTGCCAAGCATAGCACACCTTCGGAGCACTTCCTGTTTGTGACCTCCTATTTGTGATTTCCAGAGAAAAAGGGTGATCTAGACCCCAGATCAGTAACAGACACCCTTCTTTTGAAAATGAAAACTCTTATTCCCTCCTCCCCTAACTCTCTTCAAGTTCAAGCAACACTGCTGCTTGTTTGGTTCCCCTTCTCTTTTTCTCTTACTGCCTGGCCTCCTTGCTCCAGGTAAAGCTCCAGTTCTGTATTTCCTCGAAACATAGGATGAGTGAGAGATCCCAAAGGAGCCTGAAGTGCCCACAGCCTCCCTGCCTGGGAAATGGTGCTGGGCCCGGCGGATGAACTGTAACTGCAAACTCTACCACAAAATCCAGGCCAACTCATCCTCGCTTTTTCATCAAATGCAGGTGTTGACATTAAAAGCCATATTTTAAAAATCATAGCTTCTTCTTCAAGCAAAGTTCAGAGACCTTCAAACTTCAAAAGGCCGAGATTCCAATATTTTTTAAATGTTGAAAACCACTGATTTAGTCCAATTCTCTTATGTTACCATGACTGAAACTTAGGGATGCTAATTAATGGAGGGCAGAGACCAGAAACAAGTTTTAACTCCTTGTCCACAGTGCTCCTTTCCCCATGAGTATTCAATTAGTTTGAGGTCTATGTACCAATGTCTGGATCATAGAAAGATCTCCCTGAGCAGCTCAACCTTCAATCCAATATAAACATGTCAGAGTCTGCCCCAAGAGGATGGCTGAGGATTAGCAGGTGGTAAGGAGAGCTGCCACTAGACCAGGCTCCCAGGGCACAGGCGAGGGGACAGAGGGGCAGCTACAGAGGAGCAGAGCTTATCACTGTCTTCTTTTCCCCCTTCTGTGAATTCACCTTTCACGGTTCCCTGCAAGGCTGCCTCTGAATTTTTAATTTAATTTAATTTAATTTAATTTTTATCTTCATCAGATATTTATTTTGAAGCCAAAAAGAAACTTACTGTGGAATTACCTTAAGAAAGTCACATATTTAAACTCCTCATCATAAGAGGCAAATTTGCAAAATAAATACACACAAATTACTTGGCTGCCTCTGAATTTAATCAACTGTCACCTGCAGAAAAAATGTTGAGTGGCGGACAGAGGGTCCTTATATAACAGGTGATCAGTTCCAGGTTTGGAACCTTCTCTGGAATGCCCCTGAATACAGGACACGTATCCCAAACCTCTAATGACCCCACCTTTGTGGTCGCCAGGCTCACTGCGATCTTGAACGTGGGCACTTCCCCTGGTGCCCTCTGTGACAGCACGATGTGGATCACTGCTTTGGTCTGAAGCGTCCCCTGCGGAATGAAACAAGAGAGGAACTTCTCAAGGTTATGCTCCCGCACCTAGATGAATTACCAAACCCAGTGACACAACTCGGCTGGGGAAACCCACTCTTTTCTTTTGGTTTGGGCTCCAAGGTGATGGATCTCACCCACAGATTTGGTAATTATTTTTAAGATTTAATACAGTGTGGTGGAGAAACAGCACCATAGTAGAGAACTGAAGAATTAACAGTTGTCCTGGCTAGGTTCCCTGTAAACTGAACGACGTTGGGTTTCACGTCATTTTAGATAGCCTCATGTCTCTGGTCACATTCATCAAATAGGGGAACTCGGTGACAAGCAGAGGTCCTGAGTACAGCAGGCCAGGACTCTTGGTCTGACCACTGGATGGCTTTCTTATTGCCTCAGCTGCTACCACCAGGGAAGCAAACAGAGGGGCCAGGTCCCTGCCGGGAAGCTGCTCCCCCATCTCCTCCACCTCTCTGCCTGTCGGGAGTGCCCTTCCCTTCCTTTTATCTTGCAGCCCTGCCCACAGGCCATTGTGGGTGGACAGCCAACTTCCTCGTGCTGTCCGGGAGAAGACAGGCTGCACGCCGCATCCAGCTGAGGAATATCACACTGCAGCTTTTCATTGACCGGTGGGCTAGTCCATGTTGGATTCCCCAACATGGTAGCTCCAGTAGGAAAATACCATAGGAATTTTCCCGGCTGTCACCCCTCTTCTTCCATCCTCCATGACTTTAAAGTCATGAGAGGCTGAAGATGTTCTAGCACCTTCTACCTCAGGTATTTGGAGAAGGCAGGTGCTTTCAGTTAGACCCCTGGGCTTTAGATAGAGACCATACTAGCAGCAGGCCCTCCTTTCAAGTGACAGATTCATCCAGCTTTGCCCTGCCCGAGGCAGTCAATCCTAACTCTGTCCCCATCCCCTTCCTCCCTGGCCTGTGACTTAGACCTTGTTCTCATTCTACCTGCATTTCATTCTGGCTCTGGCTGTTGTAGTTCTGCCAGCAGTATTTCCAGATGTACCATATTAGAATACTTGGGGCCCCCGACCTTCCTCCTTTCTTATTTGCTGTAACGGGATTTTAAAAATCCTGTCCCTCTCCCTCCTTCTGGTTGACTCCCCTATCTCCAGGCATCCAACACCCAGCCTGGTACCACCCTTGTCTCCTATTCCTTTAAGGTAGCCCAGTAACTGTTCCCATGTTAAGTAATACCAGCTGCATGGAAGTACACCTAAAGATACTCAGTCTCTAGTCCCAACCCTCAAGGAGCTCTTATTCTAAGACAGAGAATAGGAATAAAAAGAATTAAAAGATATGAGAGCACCCTGAAGTTTTTAAGTGGGTGTATTGAATTCCCCCCAAACTCATGTCTACCCTGGAACCTCAGAGTGTGACCTTACTTGGAAAAAGGGACTTTGTAATTAAAAAACAAATATGAGGTCATACTAGATTAAGGTGGGACCTAAAGCCAATGACTGGTGTCCTTATAAGAAGGCCATGTGAAGATACAGAGAGATGCAGGGAGAAGCCATGTGACACTGGAAGCTGAGAGTGGATGATGGGTCTACAAGCCAAAGAGGGCCAGCAGTCTCCGGGAGCTGGGAGAGGGACACAGAACAGATCCTTGCTCAGAGCCTCCAGCAGAAACGACCTTACTGACACCTTGATTTTGGACTTCTAGCCTCCAGAACTGAGAGAATACATTTCTTTTGTTTTAAGCTACAAAGTTTGTGGTAATTTGCTATGGCAGCCCAGGAAAATAACATGAGAGTTGGGGGTGGTGTAACAGATATTAAGGATTCAAATTACTAGAAGAAAGAGAAGAAAAAGATCAGGTATATACGTTCAGCTTGATTTGGGTAGGGGGAAAGAAAAATTAGGAAGAAAAGAGGGAGAGCCCCATTATTTTTATTTAACAAACACAAATATACGGATTATTATGTTCCATGCATTGTTCTAAGCCCATTACAAAAATTAACTCATTTAATCATCATAGTAGTCCTCAAAGATAGAGACCATTATTATTTCCACTTTACAGCTGAGAAAATTGAGGCAAAAGGAGGTCAAATGACTTGTCCAGAGTCACATAGCTGGACAGTGGCAGAGCCAGGGTTCAAACCCAAGCAGTTTTGCCCTGAAGTCTGAATTCCTGGGTATGGTGTAGCCCCATTTATTTAAACATTTAAAAACATAATCCCTACTTTCTCTTTTTTTTTCCTTTATAAATGGAAGTAAAAATGCAGACTTTCCCACATTCTTTCACATGCCTGGCTCTCTGAGGATCCCACAGATCAGCTGCTGCAGGAGGAGGCTCTGGCCTGGCCTGGTGTTTGATGATTCACAGAGGTTAGACGTAGGCATTTCTTCAGCAGGGATACTGTCCTGGTTGATGATTTAGGCTGGTAAACTTTCCTGCCCTCATAATGGACCTGGCCAAGGGCACCCACTATACCTGGCAGAGAAGGTGCATACAGATGAGGCACAGAAGCACAGCCTTCCCCTCCTAACTGCTTCTGGCAGATTTCACAAGGAACCAGTGTGACTTCTGGCTGGAGTGACAGCTGGTCAGCAGCCATCTTATCAGAACATAAAGAGGCCAAATTGTGGGAGGTCTGTCAGGCAAAGCCACCAAAAGCAGCACCAGCACTGAGAAAGTTGAATTCTTTTCTTAAAGAGTAAGATATCATGGAAAGCATTTTTTCCCCTACAGTTGCATTGAAAATCCTGGCCTCTATCTCCAACACACATGGTCCAGTAATTTCAGGCCTATGAGAGCATTTTCCACCTCGATTCTCCCTACTTAATTCCAGTCATTATCCCTGTTAAACTCTGAGTTCAAAGAAACTCTGGCCTGGTAATTGCTTTCCCCAACTTGGAAGCTAAGGAGGGAGGTTTTCCCTTATCCTAGAAATCAGTTTCTTGCCTTCCCTGGAACACTGTTGTCTGGGGAACTCCCCTTCCTTCTGCATATCTAGGGACTGTCACTCCATTCTCTTCTGACTCCCATCAGCCTCCGACTGGATGTATTTCTTACACTCTATGCCCTGTTGGCTTCCAAAAAGGATTGGAGGTAGCTTCATAGACCGTTTGCTTCTTGTGGCTGTGTTCGTTGTACCTGTTTAGTACCCCTCTCAAGCCTGGGGCAGGGGTGTCAGTCCTGGTTCCATATGAGACTGTCTCCTCTTAATGAGAAAAAAACATTTTTATGTTGCTTTTGTGACCCCAAATGTACCTAGCAGAATGCTCTACACATACAGAATGTTAAGAAATGTCTGGGTGAAAGGACAACAGGTCAGAAGTTGAGAAGTCTTGGTTGCAGGACATTTCCCAGCCACCATCTGTAAAATGGGGTGAGATTCCATTTGCTTCTCGGAGTTACTATGATGATAATTATAGGAAATAAAGTTATAAGTATGGGAGGGAAAGCGCTTTGTATAAACTGCAGATTTCCATGCAAACGTGTAAGATGTCAGGAAAATAAGTAAGTCTGTCAGCTAATCAGGAGTCAACTCCCTCCTCCAGGACCATTTTTGCTCATGCAGTTCTCATCTCCTGTGAAAAAAGTTATTTACTTTCTTATAAATGTTTCTTAAAAAGATAAAGCTGCAAATGTTTGTAGCAGTTTTATTCAGAGTCACCAAGAGCTGGAAACAACGCAGGTGTCCTTCAGCTGGTGAGTGGATAGAACTGTGCTACCTCCCTACACCGGATTCCTGCTCAGCAGTGAAAAGGAGCGAACTACTGATAAACGCAGCAGTGCGGATGAATCTCAGAAGCATGACACCAAGGAGAGAAGCCAGACTCAAGTCTGCATACTGCATGACTCCATTTATACGACACTCTGGAAAAGGCAGAACTAGGAACAGAAAACCCATCAGTGGTCACCAGGGGCTGAGGGGGAGGGAGGTACAAAGGGGCACGAGGAAAGTTTCTGAAAATGCTCCTTTTCTCAGTTGTGGTGGTTAATTGATTGTATATGTTTGTCCAATTTTGTCAAACTGCTTGAATTTTACTGTATGTAAATTATACCTTAATAAAGTTGACTTTTAAGAAGTTACTAGAATTTTAAAAAATAAAAAATGTAAGGCCCCCCTCTCCTCAAACTGGACCTATTCCTGGAAAGCAGGATCCAATCTGCTTCTAACCCATTAGGAGGAAGGAGTCTGAAGGGGAGTCGAGCTGTTGACAAGGGACCCTTCACGACCATTTGCCTCATTGACCATAGCTGGTTTTGACACTAAGCACTTGGCTCAAAGTCTGTGAAATTAGCAGGCTCTGATTGCTCGTACATCTCAACCGTCACAACTTTATTGATGAGAATGGCTACCAGCTGTCACCCTTGCCTCCGCCTCCATACTTGGTGATTCAAACTTCATGGCCACAGCAAATCAAACCATGATCCTGCTATGGCTCATCGTGTTGGGGTTTAAACTCCTGGCCAAATGGCTGTCACTCAGTTGTTATGCTGCCAATCACCCGTCACTGTGGGTTAAACATGATAGGCACACCAAAATCTTCCAACTTTTCAGACATCTGAAAGGGGACTTGCTTTGCACACCAGCAGGCAGCAAACCTGGGTGATATTTAGCTCCTGGATTTTAGAATTTCTGGCTTTGCAGAAGGGGGGTGACTTTCTTTCTTTCAGAACAAGTTGCAAAAGGGTCTCAAGCCAGTGAGAGGGGGAAAATGGTGTCAGTAGCACATCACCTAAGTCATAACAATTTTGAGGTCCCTGAAAAATTTATCTGCACTAATGAATCAAGCTGTCAGCACAATGGAGCACAGCTCTTTAAAAAAGCAAAAACAAAACCACTTGCAATCTTTCACATGTTACTGCTGTATTCTAATTGTTCCCTGTCAAATAAACAAGACATAAATTAAAACTTGGAAAATTCTCTTTTTATAAAGATTTTATTGTAACTGTATTTGACATTTGACAGATAATATTCTTCTTCAAAAGCGAGAGAAATACTATCATCTTTTTGAAGTTACAGCATTACTACG